AAGAGTTTTCGTAAATAAAATAGTTGTAGGTTATATAAAAATATAAAACTTAGGTGAGATAAAACTATTTACGAAGTTTCAGGAGGATGTTAATAATTCGATAAAAAGGGGTCTGTACCACGGACTATAAGGGTATAAACTTCCATATCTACTTAAATATTTTGGTAGATTGATTAAGAAATTATATTTAAACTTGGTGTAGTAGTATTGACTGCCTTTCGGCCTTCATTTGTCGGTGTATGTAAACACCCGCGTCTAGACTTTTGTTCGGGGATGGTTGGTAACCGACTACTTTAACCAAGTTTAAATATTTGTTATCATTATTACTAAATATGAGGTTCCTTCTATATCTTTTTTTTTTTTGGCTTTTAAATTCCATACAGCCAGTATATAATTATTTAGTTATGTTCCTATTCTTCACTATTTTCATTTTAAATAACTATTTATTGGAAACAAATATTTGATTAGTGACATTGATAATTCCATCGGGGTTGCTCGATGTTAATAATTTTTTATATAGATTGTCATCATTTAAAAAATTTAGAAATTTCCTTCTCTGATTTTTGTAGGCAAGGCATTCCATTATATGTTGGAGTGTATTTTTTTGGGATACATTTATATACAAATCATAAAAAAAATCTTAATTATATCTTTTGGTAAGTTTAATCTGAAGAATGGCTTGTTAAGAATTTGCGGTACATTGGACTTGTAAAATCAACGTATGGGAGACACAAGTTCAATGATAAAAAAATACCATAATTTTATATTTATATTTAAAAGGATGTATTAAAAAAAAAAAAAACTTTAGTTGTATTATTTTTCACAAAAATCTGGATTGATTTCTTCCATGTGAAATTCCGCTATCGCTGTTGTTTGATGAGACCCGCTCTTATAGTGTTGGAATCTGATAAATTGTTCTTCGTAACCTTTCTATAAAAGAAAACCTGATTGGATAATTTAGAATTTCCGGAACTGTCTTGAAGTTTCTTCACCTTTAGTGGAAATTCCATTCCACTTAAGTCTAAGAATGATTTAAAAAGCGTCGTTTGGAATAGTTTTACTTCTTCACGGATTATTCTTTTAGCTTTGCGGCTAATATTATTAATGTATTTATTACTAAAACTCATTCTAGTACATACTGCTCAAATCGAGACTATAATAATAATAATAATAATGTAGAGATGGTTGGCCGTGATATAATATGAGAAGGAATTGGTCGGGGGGCGGGGAGGAGGTGCGCTCAAATAAATACTAAATTTTTAAGAAGTAGTATTTTTCTATTTCTATTTCTATTTCTAGTCTCCATCAGTGAACAATAACAAAAGATATCTTTTGTAGCCCTGATGAAGACCTGCAAGGTGGGTCGGAACGTCGGCGTAATTAAAAATATTATTTTTTAAAAATTTAGTATTTATTTGACCTACACCTCCCTCCTCCCTCTCTCCCCGACCAATTCCTTCTCATATAATAATTATAATAAAATTAAAAACATTAGAACTATCCTTAGGTACATACTCATATCAGATATATATATATATATATATATATATATATATATATATATATATATATATATATATATATATATGATAGTCTGTATTCCCTTTTCAGAAGATATGCATCAACCTTGAAATTGAACCAGATCAATAGATTAACAGATCATAAATATATTGAGCTCTTTATAGGATAAAATGTAAATTTTAAAAAGCGTGGTATTTACTTATTAACTTGATTAATATTATACCGAGATGCTAATAGCATTTTTGTTTTTTTTACTTATTTTAAATTGGAACTTATTAATTTGTTTTAATTTTTACTAAGATAATTTACTTATTATAATTAGATAAATCACAATCACACAGCCGATCACCTTCGATTTGCTTTTCTTTTTTGCCCTGACAAAGCCTAAAGTTGCAAAATTTGGAAGAATTTTTAAATTTGTTTACCTTAATTTTGGAGACATACGGTTTAGTGGCTAAAATTTTAACATAACATTGATTTTCTGTCTCTTGTGAGTTTGTATTACAGATTTATATTAATTTATTAATATTTTTAACGATCATTTAAACTGTACGTAAATCAGAGCTCCGTCCGTACTCCGTTTGCTCTGAATATAATTTCTCACCGAATCCTTGACTTATGTTTTTCTGAACCTTATGAAGAAAGAATATTTATCAACGGGAATACTTTAATACCACTTTCCTCAAGTTAGCACACATTTTTATCAATGTTATTAGTTTTCGAATTCCAATAGGTAGAAAACTGCAATGTTTCTTTCCTATTCGTCCGATAATTAATCTTTCTCCCAGGTCATTGTGCCTCCAGATCACATCAGTTTGACCTTTTTAAACTTGAAACGCTATTAATCAAGTTCAAACGTCACTGTTATCTGCCAAAGCTATGGGATAATAAATAAATATTTCATGACTATATCAAAGATCATTCATTGTTTATAAGCCTTGGTTGATGGCTAAATCCTCTAATCGTCAAGTGTATTGCTATTTTGTAGAGTAATAAAACTATAAAACGTTAGTGGTTTGGGCGTCAATTAATCTTTGGTTATAAAATGTGATATTATTATAATTAGGTCTTCATATAACTCCAAACCACTACTAAATAATGCCATTCTCACAACGTTACAAGAAGATAAAAAATCGTTGATTATTTATCAATCTTCTTATATTTATATTCATAGCATATTTTAATCTTTTATTGTTTTTGTCCACGCCTTCCTCACGTTTTAGACTATGCAGGATTTTCCTGGGTTAGGAGAGACGGCGGGTATTGATGCTAGAGTTAAAATATTTACCGTAAAATAATTAAATGCTCTGCCATTACACATTAGACTTTTTGGGAATATATTTTCTGTAATTGAAAAGAATATATATCGTCCATATAGTCAGCACAAAGCATTATTATACTGTCATCTGTCATTTTCAGAAAGTGGAGCAAAGGTCAATTTACTTTTTACAGATTCAACTTAAACCCAACTCACCGTCTCTGATGATTTTATTCCAGAATATTCACTTTGAATCATGGAAAGAAATTATTATATTTGGTTTATATTGTTACACAAGTTATGTTACGCAAATTGTCTTTTTTTTTAACTTTATATAAATTACAGTCGTTCGTCATTGATATGAGGCAACTCATATATATTTAATATAAACCGACCATAAAAACCATAGTAAAAATATGTATTTGTGCCATACATCATTCATCAAAATCCACTTCTTCTGAGAGCAGGATCAGAAACCTGTAATATATGAGCCTTTCAGGTGACAGAACGACTAACTCCAATTTCAACATTTTTAAGTAAAGTCATTGTAATGATATTTCTAGTTGAAACATTCTTAATATGTGTATAGACAGTGAGTAAGTTGATTCCAAGGTAGGCGATTGCAGTGTTAAAATATAGAACTGTGAATAAAGATATAACTTTTCCCACTAGAAATATCACTAAAATTAATAATAAAAAATGTTGAAATTCTAGTTGGTCATTCTGTCAACTGAAATTCTCATATGTTATAATTTGATATGTGATTACATTTCCTTTCTTATGAATGAATTAAAAATGTCTACAATGTTATACCTTTTTATTTGAGAAGTGACATTTTTAATCATGTTTTTTTTGGATAGGGATCTCATTGAGTAATTAAATTCTCCATGTATGATACGAATTGGTAACAATGATAATTACACGTCACAATAATTATCTACAGTTCCACACGTTCTTTGATGTTCAGTTTTTTTTCTTGGTCGATGTCGGTCCATTGGGAAAGGTGGTAGTAAAAAATATAGATTATCTTTCTTTCATTTGTTGCTCCGTCACCATTTAATGATACACGTCGTAGAAAAAGAAAAAAAGAAGCTACTATTCGCATTCGCTTCAGAAAATGATTTATCTAAATAAACGATCCTTTTCTATTAGCATGGTACGATCTCTAATTATATATGATTTGATCTTAAAAAATAAATAAAAACAGTTTCAACCTGACTGGTACTGTTGCCACACTTTAGATTCTTTAAAATATAATTTTACAATATGATTGGCCTCATATCGAATGATGGACATCTGTCATATCTAAAAAGTTGAGAAAAATCTAATTTTTTAACACAGCTTCAATTTAATTCAGTTTGAATTGAACCTGTATAACAAAAATTTGTTTTTTCTCCACTTTTTGAAAATAACAGATATCCGTCTTTGATACGAAGCCACTCATATAATTAGAAAAAAAATCAAAACGCTCTGTTTCTGGTATTTCTTTATAACGAACCATTGTGAATTTAGTTTATTGTTCATCTAAGAATCCCAAAATAAGAAGTAGAAACTATTAAGACTTACCAAGGAATAGGAGGAAACTATTATAAGTCACACACTCCTCCAAGTATTGATCAATCTAATATATATTATATATTAATATTATATTTATATGTTATAGGATATTATTCATGAAAAAATGCGTATGGCAGCGTATTTTGCACCGGTAATAGACACCCAGCTTTTGGGGTCAACAAGTTTTTTTATAGAATTACGAAAACCCAAAATAAGTTTTTCACAGTTTTAAGCAAGGGAATGACACACTATAGAAAAATGAATTAAATTTTTGAACTTTTCTCCTGAAGAAAAGTGATTAGAAAACACCCCTGAAACAAAAATCCAGCCTTGCTTCATTTAAAAATCAACCAATCGGCTATTGTGGTTTGATATCACTTGAGCTTCAGCCATCACCCTCTTAAGTGTTCTAGCTTCAAATCTATTTGTATTTGCACTCTCTTTTGGGCGTATAGGGCTTATTACCTGTTAATGAGTTGAAAACTGTCCGTACTACTGCTACATTTGCCGTAAGTGTTCTAAACATTGCCGTATTTAGCATTTTTCCTCAAAACTTAACGAGTGTCGCTAAAAAGATATGGTATTTCATTAACAACAAACCAATATTATTCAATAATGTAAGTAAAATAATTTTGACCGCCAACTAACAAAAATCTTTCGGTATTCACTTATAGCGAAAGACTTCATTGTCGTGAATGGCTGAATGGCAGGACCTCCCAAGAAGGTGACATTTTTCAATTTGAGAAATGGCACATTGGCCTGATAACGTTTTACGCTCATGAGAGGGACGGGAAAGATTGTTGTTCATGCTATACCCTAATGAAGTTGTTTTGCAATTTGCTGTTCCCTTTTGACGAGGTAGCCAGCAGCTTGTTAGGTAAGCTTTGGAAGGCGTGTGCTTCCTTTGTGAGTTGGCATACGAGCAGGGCATTATCATACTTGCAGCTCGCTGTTGTTTGGAGAAAACGTAAGCTCGGTAATAATGTTAGCTAACGTTAAGTGCAGTTTATAATTCAATAGCATTGTATCTTTTAGCCATCTATAATTAAGAATTCAAGAATCATTTTTAAATAGTTACTTAATAAGTAATATGTTTAAATGAAATTATGCTCCCACATCATCCCATGCATCTACCACACCTTTGATGTTTTTCGTTATGTTTTGGATTAATTTTTGTTCGATTTATACAGTAATCCCCATCCCCACATATATTATTACACTAAGGCTCAAAATCGGTTTTGTACCAAATATAAGCTCCTGTCATGCTCAAATACCATGAATGGGGTACCGTTGGATTCAGAATTTCACGGGGGGTTAGCAAATCGTATTCTCCATTTTTTTTTTCTTTCTAGAATAAATAAAGTAGATACAAACGTTTTGCTAGGCTTCAATACTGGAACGGTGGTAGATCTGTAGATCAATATGGGGCTAATTGGATCTTGAAGATTTTGATGCGTACAGACAGACCCTGATAGTTCCTCCGGGACTATCATGTTGGTTCCAAACATTAATGAAGATTTAAATTATTTTTGTTTCCTTTCTTGATTATATTTATCGATAAAGTAACAATTTATCTTTATCTTTTGATTCGTTACATTATTTTATTTTCTTAATTATTTGGCATTTGAAAACAATATGCTGTGCTAATTTTTCGCACGGGCCTATTAGTTACAATTATTCCATTTGGATCCCATTTGTTATTTGTGCTCCCATTTCCTTACAAGATATAGTTTTATTGCTTTTGAAACTCTAAAAGTTCTCTCTTATTACTACTTCAGAGGAACTAGTGGTATTTATTTACTTCATATTCTATCCCCCCAAGTAACAATATATTCCGATTTGTTTCTTTGTATGTTTTGCTTACGAAGGTTTTCTTTGTTCAGACGGATATATCCTGCAACCGGGAAGCTGTTACGTGAACTTTAGAGATCCGAAAACGAAATAAACTTTGCGGACGCCGGAGGTGTTAGGGTGTGGTTTGGTTCGTTGACTTCCGTTATTCGACTTGTTAGGTTGGAGGTCTTTCAAGGTTGGAAGGCAGAACGTTCCTCCGGCCATGTTTAAAAGTCTTTCTTTTACTGTTAATTCAATTTTATTATTCTATTTTTAATCGTTTGAGAAGTAATCTTTTATGTTGCTTTATGATGTAAACTGTTAATTATAGATTTTTTTAAAAATCTTTTAGACCTTGAACTTTAAGCGGTGTGTTGCAGAAATTACATAAAAAAGAAAAAATAACTCTAATTGGAAATCAGTATTTTGTTGGCTGTGTTATAGGTAGGCCTTTATGTATTATTATGATACAACCATATTCAGTGTATTGTCTTCGTGACTTGTTGAAGTAATTGAGTTATCTCTTTGTCTGAGTAATTTCGTGTTAGAAGTTTAAGTAAATTTGAATATGGACAACGTGTGTTCCTTATAATATGATTACAAAATTTTATGTTGACGAACAATGGTTTCAATTTTTTTTTTCTATTAAATATTTAACTACTTTAAATTTTGGATAGGAAAAAATTGAATATTTTTAAATTGGAAATTCAAACTTAAAATTATAAACCTACGTCATCGTTTCTTGCAGTATCCTACCCACACATCACAGACCCATCCACTACTATCATCTTACTTCATGCAAAGAAACAACATAGAATAATCAAATATGTCTACTGGAACATTCTTGTTTACCATGACTTAAAATGAAAAGTTAACGTTAACGCTTATTTCATTTGGCTTTAGTTTTTATTGATGGAAAACTCAATTTTCAATTATTTCGAAATTAAAAATTTTCCTTACGGCATTTTTATAGTTAATAATTTCTTGGTTAATAATTGGTGGTTAATAATTAACATGAAAGTATTTTGTAATCAATTCATTTAGCCAAAAAAGTAGATCTGAAAAATGGTAGTTTGTGGCTATAGCTCCATCGTCTTTTAATACTAGTGACGCGGTTAAGGGATAAGCGCTGGTATCTCCTGGAGTCTTTCTTTTCCCTCTACCTAATTTAATTTATTAAGTTCATTTTTTTTTTTTTTTTATATTGTATTTTACTCTTATTTCTATTTATTATATTGTTATTATTTAATTTATTTATTTATATATTCTGTAAATATGGTGGAAATGTTTCTTGATATTATCATTGTGGTTGGTCGAGACAGAATATTATATTATTCAATAAAAAGATTTAAATTAAAAAAAAAAAAAAAGGTAATTGTATTTGATAGTGATTTACAAATATCGTAAAATATTTCTTAGCTACTCAAACAAAGGAAAATATATAAGAATCAGGAACATTATCCAAGATAAATTATATTTGTAATATAAGCCTAATTAAAGTTAGTTGAATCTTTTTTTAGAAATTTATGAAAAACTTAATTTTTACATTAAACCAGAACTTCATCAAAAAATGTTCAGTAGAACTTTTATTTTAACAACTTTTTTCGTTCTTTTTTCGGCCTATTTGAAGTTTCTTGATAGAAAGCAAGTGGATTTTACTTCTTCATCTTATAAAAATGATTTAATTTATCTACATCACCTATCACGGCAGAAGGAATTTTGAAATTGCCCAAGAATTATTTTTTAAAGATCTCTTGTAGGCGTAATTAAAAAAATTAAAATAAAATAATGATTTATGTAAAGTGTTCTGTCTTTTTATCGTCATCCTATTTTTATCCTAAAGACCTTCCGTTCTCTCAACTTTTCATTAGATATGTTTAATGAAACATATGAGAGATTTTTTTGTTAATTCATGATGTAAAGCTAAAAATTTTTCGTAGTAGATTTATCGTCAGCCGCAGCTGACCAAATAGAAATAAACTAAAAATAAACAGATGTTTAACTAATAACCCGGACTCGGACTCCGTGGGAGCAAGACAACCCCTAACGACCTTCGCGTGGGGCGCGGTTCCTGGTCTTTGCCCCGCCCTCTCTAATGCCCCTTGCTAAATATATAACTCTCTGTGTTCTTTCTGGTGTATTAAGTTCAAGGATAATATAAAATTTCTTCATTGCCAACATAATGTGATTAAAGCGGCAGACAATTTTAATATATATATTAAAAAAATAATCTATATATATATATAAAAATAATATATATGTATATATTGTGTGAATGTAGCCCTAATATTAATACCCTTTAATGTGGCAGAATGTATTAATTTTCAAAATAATAAAAATATATATATATATATATAAGATAAAGACCGGAGACTGGCGATATCAGCCTTAATACCATTTTGTAATGTAAATAAACATAACAATTGTATATAAGGCAGATTATTGAACGAATAAAGCAGTGTTTATTCAGAAGCCGTGAGTGTTGTTTCTCGATCCTTTTTCCTTCTTTTTTTTTATTTTTAAAGTCCGCCGACGCTTAACTTATATATATATATATATATATATATATATATATATAAAATCAAACGTAATTCATCATTAATTAGGTATTTTTATAATTTTTTTTTAATTAGTTGAAAATTAATACATTCTGCCACATTAAAGGGCATTAATATTAGGGCTACATTCACACAATATATACATACAGATGATAACTAAAATAGAGATAAAAGAAAAAGAGTTGTAGAAAGTAAAATAAGAAAATTAACATACATATATATAAAAAAAAATTAGAGGAAAACTAAATGAAATTAAAATATATAAAACACATTCACACCTATATACAATATTTACATCCGCCCAGGGGACTCTTGAGTCATGCTTTGTCATCCCAAATGTGGAAGCATAGGCAGGACTACAGGAGATCCCAGTGCTTCTCTCTCTGGCGCATCACTGATAATTTTTATAATAGAATAGCAAATATTCTTTTACGTATAAATTTGTCTTATATGAAAGAATATATACAACTTTAGTATAGAAAAAGTCAAATGTGAGTTATATTCATCTTCATTTGTTGTCAACTATAGCCACATTTTTATATATTATTTCCCAAAGGAATTTTTTTGTCGCTACGACTTATCTTCGTCAGTTCTTCATCAAATCCAATGATTGAGCCATCATTTTGAAGATCTTCATTAGGTGGGAAAGACAGTCATATCCCCGAAAATTTCATGGAAAAGTTATTAAGAAAAAGAAAATTTATTTATGAATAACTCAAAAAGTATACATTTTTTCTTTACATTACTCTTATTGTTTGAAAGATTACTAAATTCCTTACTAAAAAAAAAAATAATAATCGAATTTGATAAGAGATTTTTCAATTGGAAATATTGTCTGCCTACCGAAGGAGCAAAGTGGGTTCAAGTATTTTGTTTATGGTGAAACAGAATTGATATTACTATTTTGCACCCTCAAATATGAATTTTCATAGCAATCGAAACATTAAAATATTTTGCACCGAATCGGAGCTATGGTTTGCATTTTTTTTTTTTTACAAAATCACAGAAGGTGTGATAACTTCTAACATGCTTCTACTCATTCACGTGAAATCATCTTTTAATTACTAATTATCTTTTCTTAACGAAACTATCCCTTCTTAGTAATATATAAATTTAAAAAAATTATCGAAATCGGACATTATTTTAGCAAATGTACAGTGATGTACACATGTTTTTGTTTTTTATCATGAGTGAAATAATGTGATTACGCTCAGAAAAAAAAAAACTATTTCATATATCTCCTGATACATTGCACTAACTTAGTTTTATATATATGATATACGGGGCTGTACAGATTGATGAAAAGCGGAGGATCAAGAGCAATGCAGAAATTGCAGACATTCTGAAAAACCAAGATACAGTTAATTATATAAAAGCAGGTAAGCTGCGATGGGCAGGTCATGTTGCCGGAATGAACCAATAGAGGGTTCAGAAGAAGATGCTAGACATGGCAATAATTTCAAAAAAGAGGAAAAGAGGTAGACCAAGGAGCGGCTGGAAGGATGAGGTGGCGGCTGGAAGGATGCTGTAAAGTTAGGTAGCACTG